CGTACACCTCAACTAACCCCAGGTGTACGTACACCGCAAACGCTCAGGTGTACATACACCTCAACTTACTTGGCAGTCTTCACTGCCGTGTCGATCAGCCCTTCTCTGCCCGCCATGCAGTGAAAATAAAACTCCTCTTCTCGCAACCCTAAACATCAGCAGCAGCAGCGGCAGCAGCAGCAGCAGCACCAGCAGCAGGATGAGCAGCAGCAGCAGCAGCAGCTAGGGTTGACAACCCGCGCAAATTTGTGCTGAAGCCCCCGGCTTTGAACGGTGGAGTTGAGCGTCTAGGGTTTAGGGCTAGGGTTCAGGGTTTAGGGTTTAGGGTTTACCGGTGAGGAAAGAAGAGAGAACAAACCCTCGAGCTAAACTGCCGAAATCAGCAGCAGCAAAAGCAGGCAGCGATTTGCCGCTGCTCATTGGCTGCACGCGGCGCCCTTCTAGCGACTGCTGGCCTGAACGCAAACCCTAAACCCTAAACCCTAAACCCTAAACCCTAAACACTAGGCGGTGCCAGAGGGCTGACGGGCTGCGAGCATAGCAGATGATACAACCGCAACAAACCCTAAACCCTAGACCCTAAATCCTGCCGACCACGCCTTCAAACAGCGTTCGCACCAGACCCTAAACCCTAAACCCTAAACCCTAAACCCTGATTTGGCTCACCTAGGAAGACACAAATCATGGCGTAGTTGACGTTACTACCTTTTGCTCCCGTCTTAATCATGGAGGCAAAACCGTTGCGCGGGAAGCGATATAAGAAGCACCTAAGCAGCAGCAGCAGCAGCAGCAGCAGCAGCAGAAACCGCAGCAGCAGCAGCAACCGCAGCAGCAGGCGATCGAGGTTGCAGCAGGCTATTCTCAGCAGCAAAAGCGCCACTCCCATCACTGCAACTCCCAGTGCTGCTGTTGCTATTTCCGCTACTCTGCTGCTGCTGCTGCTGCATCTCCTGCTGCTGCTGTCGCTGCATCCACTAATGCTGCGGCTGCTGCTGCTGCGGCTTTGGCTACTCAACCGTTGCTCTTCCTGCATGTGCTATTTCTGCTGCTCCTCTAACACTCCTACTGCTGCCGCTGCTGCTGCTGCTGCTGCTGCTGCCTGCCACTGCAGCCGCCGCTGCTGCTGCTGCTGCTGCTGCTGCTGCTGCTGCTGCTGCGTACTTTCCGTTCATAATGTCTGTGGAGCGGGAAGCCAGTTTGCCCATAAAGCCCATAAAAAAAGAATCCAACATTTCATCCAACTCCTTCAAACCGCCTCCAAACCGCAGCGACAGCAGCGCGCGCATGCGCTCCTGCATCCCAAACCCTAAACCCTAAACCCTAAACCCTAAACCCTAAACCCTAAACCCTAAACCCTCAGGCTGCGGGTTTTAGCGCCGGATAATAGAGCGGAAGACTGTGCAGGTGATGTCCTGAACATGCACGCTCTTGAGAGCAAACCTTGATTCTGGCGCTTCATCTCTAAACCCTAAACCCTAAACCCTAAACCCTGAAGGATCTCACCTGGGTTAGAATGGAGGGCGAGAGCAGGGCCTTCTGCTTAGTGGACGTTGCTGCTGCTGCTGCTGCTGCTGTCTGCAGCACGTAGCGCGCAGGGGACTCGAAGGAGCCCGCAGCAAACGCAGCAGCAGCACTCTGCTGCTGCTGCTGCTGCTGCTGCCACAGCCAAGAAGGGTGATACAGCCGGGCCTTCAGCAGCCTCGCGCTGCCCTCAATGGCGCCGCCGCCGGGCAGCGCGACCTGTACGTACACTCCAAACCCCACACATGCTACTGCTGCTGCTGCTGCTGCTGCTGCTGGGGCTGCTGCTGCGCGTGTTCGTGTTGCTGCTGCAGCCGCTGCTGCGCAGACGTACCACTACATTCGGCGGGGGGTACTTCAGCTGCGAGAAAGAACCGCCAGAAGGATCGGCTACTTTGCTGCTGCTGCTGCTGCTGCTGCAGGGTTTGGGCTGCATGTAAAGGGGCAAGAGCCTTTGGGTCTGCAGCAGCTGAGCCACTCTCGGCAGCTGCTGCTGCAGCAGCTGGGAGGAGCTCAGCAGCAGCAGCAGCTGGCGTCGCTGCTGCGGCATGTTCTGCATGCGTTTTAGGTTCTGCAGCAGCAGCCGCAGCTGCTGCGCTGCTGCAGCCGCTGTGGGGCGAACCGCCGCAGCAGCAAGCGGCAGCTGCTGCCGCCGTAGCAGCAGCCACGGGTTCACCTGCTGCTGCTGCTGCTGCTTCCGCTGCTGCTGGTGCTGCTGCTGCTGCTGGTCTAGGAGCTCCGCAGCGGCATCTGCCAGCCTTGCCAGGGAGAGTTTTTCGGCAAGAACAGTAGCAGCAGCAGCAGCACCGAGTTCTGCTGCTGCTTCTCCCTCCTCAGCTGGCCCTGCTGCTGCTGCTGCTGCTGCTGCTGCCATCTGCAACAGCGCGTGCTTCCTCCGTTGCTGCTGCGCCTCCCCCTCACCCGCTTGAAATGCTTCTGCTGCTGCTGCAGCAGCAGCAGCTTTGAGCTCATCTGGGTC